GGTGAATGACATAAAATTGTAGTAGTAGGTAAATAGGTAATACAGTAAAAAGTGACTATTTTTATATGAAGCACAACTCTTATGTATATTCTTAAATGGAATTAATATAATTATTATTATTAATATATATACATATATGTATAATAGGTTGAGGCAGGAAGATCGTTTGCATCATGTAACTAAACATGTATACATAATCTGCTACCAGTCAAAATCGACAACCAGTGTTAACTACTTAGGAACCAAATTGTTTTACAATAATGTATAAATTATGTTTATTTTTTACAAAAGTCTTACGTGTACATGAACATCGAGCCATAAAAAGAACCAAAATATTTCTCACCAATTCGCACTATTCCTGAATTTGGAGTGGATATAAATTTTGTAAAAAAATTGTATAATGCTATATAATATGTTTGATTTTCGTACTTAAAAAGAAATTTTGTATAGCTCCCTTTTAACTTATAAGAATTATTTACAAAGTATTTCTTCTGAAAATATCATGACTGTCTTATAACGTAAAATTACACCAGATGTTAACTCGAATTACGATACTTTCTTGTAAAATGTACTTAAAATGTAAATGCTAGAATTACCCAAAACGCGGGTTCTGTGATTTTGCATTTAAGCAGATTTTTGCCCATGTGAAAGTTGATGGAAAATAGTGATAAGGTCCTCTAATTTTATAAAACTTGTTCCATAAATGTTAGCTCGCGTTCATTCAGAATGCATTACGAAGATTACAGACCATTACCACCATCACTTGTCATTTGTAATTATTCTTGCTATTACTTCAAAAAGTAAAAGTGAATAGACGTGGCTATAAATACTATCTTGCGACGATACACTTCCATAAAGCATCACTGTACATATTTATAATATACACGATATACACAGCTTGTTCATAAAATTCAATAGTTAAAGAATGAATTATGTTGGAACAAACGTGTGATAAATAACGCCGTTTGTGAAGTAAATTTTAATACATGAACTATAAAAAACATCGATGAAACGTACAGTTTTCTAATTGCAATTCATAGCATAACATTTTGGTTGCCGAGAGATTATTATTATTATTATTATTATTATTATTATTTGTCAACGCGTAACTGGACGATAGAATTAAGAAAAATTAAATAAATTTTCTTACAATCGATGAATGAATGTTATGCTCTGAATCACATTTCCAATTTAGCTTATAACCATACATATCACAGTATCAATATAACCCTACTCCCCCCCTATTTTCACAATTTGTAACATTTTCTAGTATATTTGT